CGGGGAGGGTAGCATGTTTTCTGGTTGTAGTAGTCCTGCTGCTCCTTCCCATGCTCCTTCCTAATAACTGCTCCTTTCCGGTCCTTCTTCGGAAGGTTGGCATTGAGAGAACGCGATGCCAACGGCAGCTGCAAGGGGATTACTGGTAACCTGTTGTCCTTCAGTTAAAAGTTACAGCCGAATTTATTTCGAATCGTTTCTTAGGTCGCATTCCCCACATATTAATGAAAATGGGAAAGTGGCGACATTTCAGAATTGCGGCATAAGAAGAGCTGCTGCCATGACAGGTAATTTACAGCATCGGGCGCGATCATGTTTCTGAGGTTTTTGAGTAAAGGCCAATTAAGAGCATTCTGGTAGAGGTTGCCAAAAACTGAAACTTTACGAACTGCGTCATGAAGCTGTAATTTTGATGTACACTCAAAGTTTCTCATGAGAAAAAACACTTTGAAGATTGCTGTGTGGAGCTATTTTGCGACTGGGAGAAAATCGTACCCACTGCAAGGAATCGTGGGAAATTCATAAATGAATCGCATCATGGAAAAGAACGAGGGTAACTGCTGATCTATGGACGCTTGCCCCTACTAAAAACACCTCTAGATCACCCACTTAACCTGGATTGCTATTGTATGGACGATACAGGAGCGATCACAAATAGACAACAAGGAAATTAAAATTAAAATGTCCTTCAAGGGTGAGAAGGGAAAGTCCACGGTCAAAAAGAATATAATGCCACTTCGTTGTCCTTTAATTCTGCGAGTTACCGCTGGTTTGAATCGCGCCTGGAGTTCGCGACTCAAACAGGCGCAGTCAGCAAGCGAATTTGGCGCAGTCGTGGGGGGAGGGCATTTTTGTGCTTCAGCTATATCAAACTATTTGAAGCAGTACAGCGTCATTGTAAGTAGCGGAAAAGCGAAAAATGCCTTCCCCCGCCTACCCTTGTCCCTTCAAGATAAACTGGCGTCAGAATATTTTAATCGTAACAGCATTTTCTAAACACTCTATTATATTGGAGAAAAACAATGCAACGCTGAAAAGGGACGCCGCTTTATGTTCGCGGCACAAAGGCTCGGGTTTCAAGGTTTCTTGCAGCGGAAACCCTTTCGACTGAATCGAAAGGATACAGCTAGAGCGCTGAACACACTGCTAGGAATTGAATTGCATTGGCTGTCCCGAAATTCATGAATTTATTTATCATTTCCCGCTTTACGATTAAATTAACATGCAAAATTGCACCGAGAATACTGCCAGGATTTTGAAGTGAAGTGAAAAGCGTGGCGCATCCCAGGGGAGATTGTGGTCGGCTCTAAAACTTCGCAACACTTATTCACATACCATCAGCGGCCCTAGAGATATTCCAAAGGACAAAGGAACAGAAAATGATCAAAGTGTGCGTGAAATGGTACAGAGAAGGATAAACCTATGCATGTGAAAATGCTAGCTGGGTGTTGGGGAAGTGGTTCAGAATCCCTAAAAGGTCTGGTCAAAATCGCCCATCAGGCCGGTGTGTGCACTTCAGAAGAGAGAGAAATAGAAACCAATTGTTACGATTCTCAAGTGCCCTTTAAAATGACCAAATTTAGAAACCTTTCAAAGATTTTGTTCAAAGCATTCCAAAAGAAAAAGAGCTCACCATGATTCTCTTGTTTAGAGGCGAAACCGGGCAAGTTGAATTGTTCTTCAAGTACTGGCAATGGTACACTGAGTACAGTACAGCAAAGTGCTGCTAGTAGTAAAAGCTCCATTAGTGATGCTGAAGAAGGGCAATGAGACGATGTTCTGGTGGGTGATGCTCTCGAAGCGTTTTATAGCCCGACGCCGTATTAGTCACCAGCTGTTTTCGCTTGAGAAATGGGGCGTGGTTCCAAACGCGTCCTCGAATCGCCTAACTGATCGGAACGGTTCAACGTTTGTGAACTACGTGCGTTCTCATAACTACACAAACTTATGAGAGAACTGGAAGCAAGAATTAGAGTAATTTGAGTAGTAACCCCAGTTCCATTTGGAAGATATTACCTCTGGAAAAAACCAAGGAAGGAACACTTTCTCAAACTCTCTGAGATGCCCACCACAAACAATCAGCATCGGAACTCGCAGAAACATTAGGATTATCATACTTTAACAATCGAGGCGCAGTTGGGCGAACTGTTATAAAACGAGCGCCAGTTCGCTATTGGAGGGGGCGGGGGGGACATTTTGGCACTTCTGCTACTTCGGCCATCGACGGTCAGCTCCACCGCGGGTCTCGACCTATCTAGACAGCCTCTTCTCGAGTTGACAGGTTCTAACATGATGGCTTGATGACCTTGCTCCAGCTTCACACATGAGTTCACAGGTTTCGCCAGAGTGAGACTTGTAAACCGGACTAATTGTAAGGACGTAATGATAGTACAAAGTGCCCCCCCGTCGCCGACTAGCGCCTGGTGGCATGTCACTACCGAAGCCAAGGGCAGGGTCCTCGTCATAAAGCAATGCCTCCCCCAAGTAACATCCATCTCTAAACATCCAAGATTGAGCTTTAGTAAGGTAGTGGCTCAACTGTCATAACTAATCTTACTATATTATTCTGAGTACCAAATCTCTTAGCCGCGGCGACATCCTGTATGAATACCTTCAAACACTGGCGTTGAGAAAACCACGGTCCTCCACTTGTGGCGAATAACAGTGAGCTATTGGTTCCATGTAAGGAGACGATCTAATCTAGCCAGAACAGTGTCGCCCTACAGAAAAGAGGAGGAGAATTGAGGAATACCAAAGATAAGAAAAAGGGTCGCGGTTAGCTCCATTTCCAAAGTAGTGCTGTTTTCTATCATTTGATCGCGCTTGAAGAAAGGATGAATGAATCACAAGTAAAGCGAATTAGAAGACAAAAGAATAAGCCTTCCGGTCTCACAAAGTGGCATCATCCTAGGTCCGCACGTGGGGTTCCACCTCCACTTCAGCAATAGCGCTTGGTTTTGTGAAGCCTTTAGAACGGCCTTTTGGGCGAAGAAATTACTCACTGTGTCTGTCTTTTAGACAACTGGCGGTACGCATTACACCACCCTGCTGGTATTGTGGGAGGGAGGATCTGGCCAGAGAGTGAATTCCCTCTAAAAGTTTGACGGTGCACAAAGTAATGGCCACTTGCCATTTGCGCAAGCCCCCCTCGTCCTTGATGCGGGTGGGAGCTATTTGCGTTTCTTTCCAACATGAATGGGTGCTCCTCCTCTATGTGCTCTCTTATGAGCGTAGAGAGAGCATAAAGTATTTGACCATTCTCGGATCCCTTGCTAATTCAAGGCGCACGAATCACTTGCTCTACAGGACGAGCGTCATTCCATCTATTACTTGAAAGAGTTGAATGGCCTCATACTCCTGACAGATTTGCTCTTATGGCTCTAAGATCCGAGACCTTTGAGGGGGCCTGAACCCCAAATTTTGTTTTTCTTTTAGCTGTCTTGTAAAGCTTATTTCTAAGAAAGGTGAACGGGATAATATGGTGGTGAGACTCAGCAAAGGTGGGTTTGTAAGCCCGGGTCACGAGTACAGCATTCTGCCAAAGCCTGGATCCTCACTCACCGAGTCGAGTCGGTTAACCAAAACCCAACCTGCTGCTTTGTGTGCGTCGGCAGGCTACGTTAAAGGAAACGAGTCCGCGATGACGCCTATGAAAATGCAAGGGATTATGTGGGAAGGTAGTGCAGTCCGGAGTGGACAACGTAGACAACCCTTGCCAGTTTCGCGGCGGAAAGTTGCACGGTAAAGGAATTAAGGCGCAAAGTTGCTTTTAGTGGTAAATCCCTTTTCCAGTGACTCCGCCTCCAAACTCCGCCTCCAAAGTCGGCCTTCCAGCCAAAAGTAATGCTCCCGGGCAAGTATCATGGAGTGGATGCATTCAATGCCTCTTGTAGAGTCATAGGGTTCATTACTGGAAATAGTCGACGGGAATTGTCCCACAGCGCAGCGGTCTTTTCCGTCTTTTTACCTCTACGTTGTTTAAGGCTACAGTAGTTCTGAGGCTAGTGGAGGCCTGACGAATGCGTTTCCAACGTTCCCTTTGGCATTTTCTCTTCATAGACGGTTCACTTGGCGAATTTTCTTCACATTTCTGCAACATCACCTAGGCTTTTTATCGCGGACCGTGCCTTTAATGTAATGTTCATATGGGTAATATGAATATAATGAATCGAACTCCCAGAATCTCGGACTCCCTCGTGAATTCAGGAGGGCTGGGTTCAGCGAGGCGTCAAGTAGTTTTCCACCAACTGGGTTGCCTGCCAGCTTCCACAGTTGATGGAAAGGCTGCTGCCGCGTAAACTTACCCTCCCCCCCCGCTCTCACCTAAAACGTCCTAGCTTCTTCAACGAACAAGACTGTTTCCTTTTAGCTAGGTAGTTGAGGAAGCGATAATGATGAAGTGTACCTCTCAGTGACTAATCGTCAGCCTTGAGCACCTATTTTGTCATCCGTCATGTATAAGAAGAGGAACAAAACCAGCGAAAGAAATCGGACTGGAACTGGCAGCTCAAGCATCCCAAGCATGTCGTTTGAGGAATCGTCAACTGTCACTTGTGCCTGAAGTGTCCCGAAAAAGAGACACAGGCTCCGGGCTTGCTACACAAGAAGTAT